TTTGTCATGTACTCCCTGCTGCTGCTTCTGTTGATAAAGTATCTTGGAAACTGCAATGACATATGAGAAGCTGTTGTCCTCTTTAACTTCCCATTGGACTTTCTGTCTTACAGTCTCCATTTCCTAAGTCAATTTGCCATTCCCTAATGGGGAGGCAGAGTCCTGTTGGCCAATGCGTCAAACTGCAAAGTCGTTTGAACTCCAAGGTTGGTGGTTCAAGCTCACCAGCTACTCCTTGGAGACCCTATACAAGGTCACTATGGGTTAACATCGACTCGACGGCACTTAACAACAACAACAACAATGGGGAGATGGAGTTCTTGTGTGGCGCTGTGAGTTAATGCACTGGACTACAAGGTAGGTTTGAACCGCAAGGCCGGTGGTTCAAGCTCACAGACCACTCCTCAGAAATCCAATACAGGGTTGCTATGAGTTGGAACTGACTCGATGGTATTTAACAACAACAACAGTGAGAAGACATCTAACTGTGCTAAGCAGAATTGCCTGGACTGAGATGTTGTTGTCCTTAAGTGCCATTCAGTCGGTTCCAATTCAACAACCCTGTATAGAGTTTCCAGGAGTTGCTGGTAGGTTTGAACCACCAACTTTGTAGTTAACAATGTAGTGCTTATCCTACAGTGTCGCACCAGGAATCCCCTTGAAAAGATGTCAGCAAAGCCCTAAAAATACAAATTAGCCATCAGACAATGATCTCTAAAGTGGCTACCTCCAGGTACGTTTCATGCCATGATCAAAGGAACAACCATGCCAGGCCGGAGCTGAGTTTCATAAAAAGGTCAGACCCAGGACCTACCACTTCCTGTCAGAGTATGACGAAGACCCAGGAGGAAACCCTGCATTTTGCTGTTACCCTGATTCCAGGATTTCACGGGTTACCACACATATGAAGACAGTGTTAACACATAGGGTCTTCTCAAAGGAAGTTCCATCTTAAAATCATTTGGAACAAACTAGGCCAAGATCCATCTAATGATAAATCTTTATGCATTCATAAAGCTTAAAATCCTGAGGCAAAAACCGTGAAAATCATGCTCCAAAGTTCAGGGAAACATCAGACAAAGAAAAACAATGCTTGGCTATGGAGCTGAAATGTATTTCAAGGAAAATGAGAGGAGCCTAAGTACCTCACTCACGGTTCCTGAACAGCTAGCTACCTTCTTTTAACAGACCTAGCTCAGTTGCCTGGCTTATTAAAAGAGAAGCAGTTTTTAGTTCTACGCCGTCGGCTATGAAAAGGAACAGCTCTTTGTCTAAGGTAAACTAAAGGGTTGGGGTTTTGGTTGGTGTCTTTCTGAAAGTCCCCCAGAACATTTCCAACTCAAACTGTAATTTCCTAAAGAGACTTAATTTTGAACTGTCTGTAAAACACATTTTCATAAACTTTTGTTTTCTCTGAAACATCCTGACTTTATAGGTCTAATGAACTTGAAGTTTTCAAAATCTCTGAGTTAGGAATAGTATGCAAAATTATACTTGAGCTTTTAGTCAATAATTATCAGAATACTGTTTTGTTTTGTGTTTCTCATGGGCCACCTATGGAAGGTATGAGGTCATAGAATCACACTAATCTTCTAAACCAACAATTGATTTTACAACCAGAAAAAATGTTGGTATCTGAAGAAGGTGAGGTGACTTGCTCAGGGGCATGCCCTTAGTGGCTGAAGTTAGTGACGGAGGCAAGACTAGAACCAGTCTGCTGCCAAATCCAGGGCCCTTCCCATCTTTCTGGTGGCACCCCCCTACACACACATACACACAAAGTCAGGACTTTGAAATTTGATGAGGAAAATAAATATTTTCGAATCACTTTCAGTTCAAAAGATGAATCCATAGGATTCCAGAATGGATTGGATGAAAGGTAAGTGGGATCTGAGGGCAGTGAGCCCATGAATGGACTCCTAATTTTAAGTTCTATTCAGAGTCCTGGTATAGCTTTGTGAAATTAGCACTGGACTGCTAACCGCAAAGTTGGTGGTTCAAACCCACCAGCTGTTCCTCGAAAATCCTGTGTAGAGTGGCTATGAGTCGGAACTTAACAACAACAACATTCAGAGGTGTATGAGAGACAGGTATGGTCTGAACCTGAATGTGGAGTTTTGCCTTCCCTGATGAGGGCAGGACTGTGTGTTCAATCTGGAAAGCAGGAAGACAGGGAATAGCTCACTGAAATGGCATCGACCAATCACAGTCATCCTATAGTGTCCTTATGCATCTGCCTGAAGTCACTGGGTGTTTCCTGCTGAACCTGAGTGTCTCCTCCAAGCCACACCAGCCCCTCAAATTTTTCCTTTTGGGCCTTTCCCAGAAATAACTTCTTGCCAGAAGGTATAAAAAGCCAGCTCTTCCGGGCAGAACAACTCCCCTGTCTGCCACAGGACACTAGGCAGGTAAGACATAACTTTAGCTTTCCTGGTTTCTGTAAAGTTGATGACAGCATTCCCTAAAGACTTCTCAGAAATCTTAGAACTGGGTTTGAACTGGGTCTTCATTGAGCATTTTCTGGTTCCAGATGTGGCTGCACGCTCAGCCCTGCTGAGTGTGAGAGAACATATTTGCATTCACTGTGAGGCAAGAAGACGTGTGCGTATGTATGTGTGTGTGTGCCTGCAAACTGAGTCACAGAATTATAGACTCTTAGGGAAACTGAGGCCTAGAGAAGACATACGATGTGTCCAAGGCCTCACCACAAGTGGGAAGAAGAGAGCAACGCAATCAAGCTTTGTGTGATGTTCTGGAGGGTGGTGTGATGTCCTGTGACCTCTCTATTATGGTGAAAATTTGGTGGTGTTCCCTGCCCACCGCTGCAGAGTCAATTCCAACTCTGTCCATCAGTGGCCTAATAGACAGAGCAGAACGATTCCATAGGGTTTCCAAGACTAAATCTTTATGGGAGGAGACAGCCTCGTCTTTCTCCTGTGGATCATCTGGTGGGGTTAAACCAGCATTCTGATCGCTTACAACCAGCATTCTGATCGCTTAACCCGCTGTGCCACCAGAGCTCCTTGTGGTGGTATTAGGCATTCCCTAAGCCAGGGGTCTCAATTTCCAGTAGCTCATGCTTCAAGTTTGGGCAAGTGTTTGGGAAATGGTTTTTGCACTGACTATGAAAAGAAGGTAGGTAAGTGTCCAACCATCGCGGAAGCTTCGTACTGGCCTCCATGAAACCCCATGCTCTGCTCTCTGTCCTGCTTGCCTGGTGCTGCAGACAGTATCCCTCCAGGATCTTTTATGAACACCCTTTTCCGGTGGCATGAGCCCGTGTTTGCATGGCTCTGCTTTCCTCCCCATGCCCTTCCTCCACACAGACCAGACAACTTGCCTCCCCCACCCCCACCCCCCAAATAAATAAACCCATTCCCATCAAGTCAGTTCTGATTCATGGCAACTCCATGTGTGTACCAGTAGAACTGTGCTCAATGTGTTTTCTTGGCTGTTATTTTATGGAGTAGGTTGCCAGGTCTTTCTTTCACGAGCCGCTGGGGAAATGCAGACTGACAGTCTTTCAGTAGCTGAACTGAGTTTTGGAAGTAGATCACCAGCTCTTTCTTTTGAGGTATCTCTGGGTGGACTTGAACCTCCCATCTTTCAGTTAGCTGAGCAGGTCAGCTCCTCTCATCTTTGGTCTGGTCTAACCCCAGGGGTGATTTACATCCTCAGAAACCCTGTACAGGGTCGCTATAGGTCGGACCCGACTCGATGGCACTTAACAACAACAACAACAACAACCCCAGGGGTGAGTCCTAGTGTGGTGCTAAAGGATAAGCACTGGACTGCTAACCCAATGGCCGGTACTTCAAACCCACCAGCTTTCCTTGGGAACCCTATACAGGGTTCCAATGAGACTGAACCGACTTAACAGCACTTAACACTTAACAACAACCACCCAAGGAGAGATTATTTGAAGAGAGTCTAAAGGACTGACCAACAGTCTCTTAGACAAAGCTCCAAGACTATAATTTCTCTCAGGGAGATCTTTGGGTAAAGATGGCAGAAGGAACTTTAGAATCTCCTCAAAATATATTTGTGCCTACTCCACCAGTTCCAGCTTCCCAAAGCCCCTCATCAGAACACAAAGCTTCATGAATTTTAGTCAGGATGATTTGGGCCCAAATGAACTACTAATGAAGGGCTAATCTAACAGCAGGAATCTCTCCAGGCAGCCCTGGATGCTGCTATGGGCTCAGGGGCACTCTGAGCTTGTCACAGCTTTAGTTCACGCTCTCCCATCAGATAGGTTCTTGGAGGGGAAGTGAAACCCTGCATCAAGTTTCCAAAAGTCTGTTTCTCAAGCAGCACATGCCCCTGGTGCTGGGCCAGAGCAAGTTAGCTTTCGGAGAGCAAAATTATCCTGAGTGGAAGGAGGGAGGAGATTCCAAAGACAAGTTCCAAGCTTGGTGACAACATTTCTCAAAACTATGACTAAGCAGGTACAGGGTTTCAAGAATCACAGGCTGTCAGAGTAGAATCAGGAATCCTGGATCACTTGATCCAAGTCCCCTCACTCAGCAGGTGAGTGGCCCGGAGAGGTTAAGTAGTGTGTGCAAGGTCAGGGAGCTAGTTAGACAGGTGCAGCGTTCCAAGGCAGTGCTGTCTAGCTCCACAGTCTGGGTTTCTCCCCTTCAACCACTATTGCTTCCATCTCTTCCAGGATATAACATAGTGATTGGTGGTATGTGCTGTGGAGTTGGCTCTGACTCATAATGACCCTGCATAGGGTTTCTAAGGCTGTAAATCTTTCCTGGAGCAGAAAACCTCATCTTTCTACCATGGAACAGTTGGTAGTTTTGAACTGCTGACCTTGAGGTTAGCAGCCCAACTCGTAACCACTACATTACCAGAGCTGTATACAACACAGCCCCTTTTCTATCCCAATGTATTTCCTGGGCTTTCTCTGCTTTACTATCCCCGTTCTATAATCCAATCCTTTCCACTGGAGCTTTGGAGAGGCTCACAAATACAACCCTGGTCTCATTTCAGCTATGAGGGTCCTTCTCCATTTCCCTGCCCTCCTGGCATCTCTGACTTTGCTCCAGGCTGCAGTGTCTCCCACAAGTGGTAAGTACCTCCTAGCTGCTGTAACAGATGAACACAAACTGGAGGGCTTTAAACAATAGAAATGTATTCTCTCACGACTCAGGAGGCCAGGAATCCAAAATTTAGGTATCAGCAGGATCGTCCTGTCTCTGAAGGCTCTAAGGGAGAATCCATCTTTGCCTCGACCTAGCTTCTGGTGTCTCCTAGCAACACTTGGTGTTCCTTGGCTTAAAGCTGTATCACTCGAATCCTTGCCTCTGCCTTCACATGCCTTCTCTGTATGTCTCTTCTGTGTGTCCTCTCCTCGTCTTATGAAGACACCAGGCATTGGGTTAGGACCTATCCTAATCCAGTATGACCTCATCCAGTAAGTACATCTACAAAGACTCTACTTCCAAATACAACTACATTCTGAGGTTCTGGATGAACATTATGTTTTGAAGAACACTATTCAATCCACTACATTCTTCCTACTCAGAGCATGTACCTATCCCATCTCTACTCTGACACCATGCCTTTATGTACATACTTCTGGGTTCTGGTCACCAGTTAAGCTCTCTGATGGACTCACCTATGCATCTACCAGCCCATCCCACCAGAAGCTAGCAAAAACCCTTCAGCTCAGCTGCTGAGCCAACCTGTGTGGTCACACTTAGTCCCATCACCAGGAGTGGGAACCTGAGTAGGAATGTTGACATCTTATCAATAGAGAAGATTCTCCCCATTCTGCACTTTTTTCCTCTAGAGTACTGGAACTTTTGTGGAAGTTTCCTAGCCTTGATCTTCTGCCTTCTCAGGTTTGAGGGGTGGGAGGAAGAGGAAGACAGGGCACAGGGCATCTCAAAATGTGGGGTCTGATACCCTGCCCCTTGCTTCTCCATTCCAAGCACAGACCACTATTGCCACTGCCATCTCTGATGCTGTGAATCAGGCCAAAGTCCAAGTCAACAAGGCCTTCCTGGATTCCCGAACCAGGTACGTGAAATACACACACACACCTCCCTCCCTCACAGGCTTCCTGCTCACCTCAAGCACTGCTAGGCCAGCCCTGACAGGCCAGTGATCTAAAGCAATTATAAAACTTGTCTTTCCACACCCCCTCAAATATGTGGCAAGTAAGACTGATAACCCACAACTCCTAAAATGCTGTTGGTTACCTTAAGAGGATATCATCTCTAATTCTGCAAGAACTTCCATGTGGCTGAATGCTTCCTCGGGTGGTGCATTCCAGAGTCTCAGAAAGCCACTCAGTAGATGGTGTTCATTCATTCAACAAGTGACCTTATTCACAGAGTCAATAAAACTCACCACTGTGGGGTTGGCTCCACCTCATAGTGGCCCTAAAGGACAGAGGAGAACTGCAAGCTTTATGGAAACAGATTGCTATATCTTTCATGGAGCGGCTGGTGGGTTTGAAGCTCCGACTTTTTGGTTAACAGCCAAGTGCTAACCTATGGTGCAGTTCTATCCTGTCCTACAGGGTTGCTATGAGTAGGAATCAGCTTGAGGGCAATGGGCTTTTTCGGTTTTCAAACTCCAACAAAGACTCCAAGACGCTAGGTTGTTCTCATTGACATGAATGTGAATGGGGGGACCCAAGGGGAGCCAGGGGAGAAGAACCAAGATTTCAGCAATTATCTCCAAGTGAAAATCCTCTCTCCCTCCTTCACTTCAGTCCTTTCCTAGTCCCAAGGTGGTTGTTGTTGTTGTTATGTGCCATGGAGTTGGTTCTGACTCATAGCAACCCTGTACAGGGTTTCCGAGGCTGTAAATCTTTACGGGAGCAGAAAGCCTCATCTTTCTCCCACGGAATAGCTGGTAGTTTCGAACTGCTGACCCTGAGGTTCACAGCCCTATTTGTAACCACTATGCTACCGGAGGATGAATAAAAGGCACAAAATTGATGTTCATCTACCTCCTTTGCAAGGATGAGGATTGGCACCTGCAATGGACTGTGGGGGTACTTGTGCTCACTGTCTAGTTCTTAGACTTAGGGACTACATAGGCAGCCACATTTAAATATTCTGTTATACAAGTACACAAGCAAATAGTCCAGCCACTGGAGCTAAGGGCAATGAAGAAAATAAGAAGTTAGGGAAGCTTGTGGAGGTGAAGGAGGCAGCACCGGGGAGAGGAGGTTCATTCCAGGCACTGAAACTGCAAAGGCAAAGGCCCACTGCAAGAAAGCACTGAGGTGTTTCAGAAACAGAGGAGGACTGTGGGACAGAGGTTGTCCCGAGGCTCAGGGTAAGTCCTTGAGGAACTTTATCCGGGGCAATGGTATGGTTTGATTTTTATTCTAAAATAATCACCTAACATTTGTGTGGAGAATGGCTGGGAGGGAGACAGAGAGGAGGCAAGGAGTTCAGTAGGCGGTCACTGCAGTGGTCCAGGTCAGGGGACGGTGGCTTGGACAAGGGTGGAGGCAATGAGGATGGACAAAATGTCTCAGAGACCTGCTTGCTCCAGCGGAGCCCATCCTTGTTACAAAGAAGGTAAGTCCCTGGTGAGTCAGTGTTCAGGTGGGGAACCCCAAAGAGCCTAAGTCAGAGAAAGGAGGGAAGCTAGAATCCCCTCAGGGGATCTTGCAGGCTGAGCTTTGGGGAAACCCAGCTACCTTCCTGTGTTCGGGGTGTGTGGAACTGTCTGCTACCGTCCCTCCATCAATGCTCTGAAGTCTGTCTTAGCTTTCTAGAGCTGCTGCCACAGAAACACCACGGTGGGAAGCAGAAACTTCCTTTCTCACAGTCTGTTGCTCTTAGGTGCTGTCGAGTTAGTTTCAATTCATAGCAACCCCGTGCACCATCCTAATTTTTGTTACTTCTGAGCTCATTTCTGTTGCCACTGTGTCAACCCATCCCACTGGGGGTCTTCATCTTTTTTGCTGACCCTCCACTTTACCAAGCATGATGTCCTTCTCTAGGGACAGGTTCCTCCTGATAACATACCCAAAGTATGAGAGACAAAGTCTCACCATCCTGGCTTCTAAGGAGCATTCTGGGTGTACTTCTAACAACACAGATTGGTTTGTTCTTCTGGCAGTTTATGGTACTTTTAATATTCTCCAGCACCATAGTTCAAAGGCATCAGTTCTTCTATAGTCTTCCTTATTCACTGTCCAATTTTCACATGTATATGAGATGATTAAAAATACCATGGCTTGGGTCAGGCGACCTTAGTCCTCACAGGAGGCTAGCCGTCTAAATTCAGGGTACCAGTTCTAGAAGAAGGCGCTCCCTCTGCCAGCTGGAATCGGGGGAGACCCCTATCTCAGCTTCTGTAGCCCTGACACCTCTCAGATCCTGGATGAACTTGACATGGCACTGATAGCCACTCCAGTGCCCATTTGAGCTTATTTCAGTGTCTAATCAGTGTTTGCTGTTTTATATCTCAGAAGAGAACAAATTTAGGACATCTGACACTGATGTGGCCTCATTAACATAAAAAAGAATCCCCTATTTCCAAACAGGATTACATCCATAGGTATAGGGATTGGGGTCACATGGAGGTGGGTGGGAGATCAAACCATTCAAAACAGCTTTGTTTTTAGTTTTGTTTTGTTTTTAGGTGTTAAAAAAAAAAAAGATCAAATGCCATGATGCAATCTAAGATTGCGCTCATTATCCTCATTTAATGATAAGGAACCTGGGGTTGAGTAACTTATTTAAAGTGGCGGAGCCAAACCCAGCCAGTCTGTTCCCAAGTTTACACTTTAAGTCTCTGATATAAGTAATACTACGATCTCCAGTTCTTAAGTGAGAAGCAGGTCACCCAGGGTCATATAAATTAAGTCAATCCTTGTAGATACAGGGTTCAAAACTGAGCCTGTTTCTAGGACCAAACTCTCTCTGATGGTATCTGAGCTGTCCAATACAGTAGCCGTGCACCACATGTAGTTACTAAGCACTTGCAATGCCATGGAGGAACTGAATTTTTCATTTTCTGCATGTCTCACACTCATGCACGTGTCTGATGCCATCTTTCAGGGCAATTTTTTCTTGGGACAAATTTCTGGAATGGCGTTGTTAGTGAAAAAGTGTGCAGAATTTTTCTAAAGGCTTTTTTTCTTTTTTGCTTACTTTCTTTTGTTCATGTCAATCTGTGCATTTCTCCCACCCCTTGTCTGTCAGGTTTTTTTCCCCCTCAATTGTAAATTATACCCAAGTACAATAATTTTAATCAAATAAGAAACCTGTTCAATGAAAAAGATGTAAACTGTACACAGGGCGTTAATATTGACTGTTTAGAATGGCAAGATTAGAGGTGAGTTTTTCCCTCTTTTATCTAAAATATACAAAATATTAATAATTAGTCTAGGTGAAGGGCATGCAGGTGTTTATTATCTTACTCTTTCAACCTTCCTGAATGTGTACAATTTTTTCAAAATAAAAAGCTAGGAAACAGAACAGTAGAAAATAACCTAATTTATTAATAATGGCAATTAATTCAACTTTAGAAATGACTGCCAACGCTACAGTATAAAAGGTTAACTACGAAGTTTCAACCTGACCTGTCTGGAAAAAAATTTTTTTTGGAATGAGCAATGCAGATTACTCATGTCTTTTTCTTTTTGTAGGGTGAGGAGATAGGAGAAAAGAGCTAGGGTTAGGACTATGGTTAGGTCTAGGCTAGGTGTAGGGTTTTGCGTAGTGTTAGGGTTCTGCTAAGGACAAGGGTTAGTGTTAGGGGCACAGGGTGGGCTAGGGCTACGAGTAGGATTTGATCTAGCTTTAGGGTTACAGTTAGTTTTATTTTTATATATTTAATTTTTCTTGACATCTACTTGATTTCCTCTTCATTTGGAAGTTCTATAACTACATTAGTCCTTCTGTGTACTCTGTGGTTTTGTTGTTGTTGCAAACTGGTAACTCTGGCTCCCTATGTTCAGTCTTGTAGGCTTGTTTTACTTTGGATACTTCTATGTCTGGTTAAACTCCGACTTAGGGTGATAGTGTAGTGTATTTGAATCTCTGGCTGTTGTCTGCTGTTGTTGGTTCTCCTTCCAAAGAACTCCCATAAGTAGTTTTTGTAAGGTTGAGCTGGTTTTTACAATTTCTTTTGCTTTAATGTCCTGTGAAATTAGGACATTTCCAGATAAACAGAAATTTAATTTCACTTTAGTGAATTTCCATTTAAACATTCGCCTATGACTCATGGTTACCATACTGCACGGCGAAGCAGTCTGAACTACTAGACCATGCTGTCTCTTGCTAAAGCAACAAAAGAGCAAAATGGTTTGTTCTTGGGGGTTCTTTTTCATCGAGGTGGGGCCTAGGAGGTGGTGGGCTTGTGAATAGAGTCTGACCCTCTAAGAGTCTCCTTGTGCCCACCCTGTTCACCCACGTAGCCCCCGAAGCAGAAACACCTCACCCTTTAAATATAGAATTCTTGACCTGGCCTGGAGTAACAGGTTGGTTGTTAAAACCAGTGAATTGTACCCAAAAAGCAGGATTGTCTTCTGTGAAAATTCAAGCCACTTCCAATATTTCAGTCTTAGAACCATAGAACACCTCAGAAATCATCTCATAAAAAACCAAACCTATTGATCCTGTCCCATGGCCACCCCACATGTTGCAGAGATCTGCCCCCAAAGGGTTTCCAAAGCTGTAATCTTATGGAGGAGTCCTGGTGTAGCACTGTAGGATAAGTGCTGGAATGTTAGCCACAAGGTCAGCAGTTCAAACCCACTAACCACTGCTCAGAAACTCTACATGGGGTCACTAAGAGTCAGAACTGACTCCACTGCACTTAACAACAACAATCTGTAGAGTAGCAGATCACCAGGACTTTCTTCTGTGGTGCAGCTGGGTTTCAGTTAGTAGTTGCATACAAACACTGTACTACATACCCAAACCCACTGCTGGTAAGTTGATTGTAATTCACAGAGACCAAATAGAACAGACTAGAACTGACCCATGGGCTTTCCAAAACTCTAAATCTTTTATGGAAGTCCACTGCCACATCTTACTCCAACGGAGCAGCTAATTAGCTTGAACCATCAATCTGTCAGTTAGAAGCCAAACACTTAACCCATAAACCCCCTTATCTCAGACATGAGGAAGCAGACACAATGAGGAGGCAGAAAGCTCACATGGAGGGACTTTTCCTGACAGCACCTTGCCCTCTGTCATTTCTGTGTTGTCACAAACATCTTAATAGAAGGGTTTCAGCTTCTCATTTTATATGTGAGAAATAAAGAAAGAAAAGGTCTAGATCTCATATCTAGCTCCTATCTGTGCCACATCTAAACAAATGCCACACTGACTCTCAGCCCAGAGGCAGTTTAGGATGGTTTCGTGGGCAGGAGTCTCGTAAGCATCTTACTCCTTTAAATATCAGCCCAGAAGACATGAGGAGATGGCAGCTTGTGCCAGGGATTCCCCACATCTGACTCAGTAGTTCTTGGGAACTGTGTGTTTTTAAAGTTGCCCCAGTTGATTCTGACACAGCCAGCCCAGCTGCAACTCTGTGATTCAGGCTCAAGAGCCACTCACATCCATCCACTGCCTTCCCTCGGGACCATGTCTAACCAAGCTGAAAGCCACAAGAGATTTTCCAGAAGTATGAAACCAAAATGGAGAAAGACTTAGAGAACATGAGAAGTGCTTTTTTTCCCCCGACATGTTGTCCATACCCCTCCATGGCACCTCCTATAAACGCCCTCCTTCACACCAGCTCCCTTCTACTGAATCAGAGCCTGGGGGTCCCGTCATGCCTTCCCATTGCTCTCCACTCCAGGCTGAAGACTTCCATGAGCTCCCAGCGTCCCACCACCAGACAGCTCATAGAATACCTCAAGCATGCCAAAGGCCAGACTCGTTCGGCCATTCGCAAAGGGCAGGTATGGGAGGAGTCCTTAAAGAGACTGAGACAGAACTCAACCTTGACCAATGTCACAGGTAAGGAAACCTACTACCCGCTGATGGCAAGAAGGGGTCATGTCCCCAAGGAAGAGAGCAAAAAACAGCCAACCAAACAAAAAGTCATTGCTCTTCAGCGATTTCTACTTTATGGAAGTAGATCACCAGACCTTTCTTCTGCATCACTTCTGGGTGTGTTCAAGCCTCCAAACTAGGTTAGTAGACAAGCACAAATTGCTTTGGCCAATACAGGAACCTGCAGGAGAGAGCAGAGACCACCCAAAGCTACATTCTCTGTCTCTACCTTCTTAGAATTGCAGCTCGACTATGTGAGGAGCAGCTTAAGGCACATCTGGTCCAACACTCTTTCTGCAGAGGCAGGAAGTCAGACCCAGCAAGGTCACCTTGCAAATGCCTAATGAGGGGACATCAGTGTTCTTTGTATACTGTAGTATGTAAGGGCTCTGCACAGAAGAAGTGCTAAAGGCAATAAACACAGGATATCTGTCCCAAACCACAGTGCCACCAGTTCTGACAGGGGAAGGAACATTTAAGCCACTTTTGTCAGGGAGATTTACTAGGATTATGTTGCAGGAGATGAACTTTCCAACATATTCTGGGTAACATGAGCCTGAACCAATGTAAGGCACTGGGTTTCAATTTCCTGTCCCCTCTGCAGAACAGAGACCGGAGAACTAACTTAGCTCCTTTGGGGACCCTTCTGTTTCAGACCTCAGCCAAGGCTTGGATTTCCTCTTCCATGAAGTGGGCTGTGCTGTCTCTTTCCCTGTGGTGACATGTGACAAGAACAGTCCTTATCGTTCCATTACGGGCGACTGTAATAACAGGTGAGTGGGCAGCAGTGGAGGGAAGGGGTACACCTTCCCAGAATCACCGGCAACACCACATGTACCGACCGGCCCAGCCCACCTGCCCATCCCAGTCCACTTGCACCAGCCCAGCTCACCTGTCCAGCCTGGCCTAGCCTAGCTCACCTGTTCACCCTCATCTGAGGGGTCCAGTCAGGTGCTTTGCCACTTGGTTATGCCAGGCAGAATCCCTACTGCCTTGCCCTCCTGATTTTGGGACCCTTTAGAATTTGTTCCCCCAACTTCCCCACAATCTAAAGATTCCACGTCTCCACTGTATCTCTTGGGGAGTTCTACAGGATAAACAGTGAGCTGCTAACCACAATGTTGGTGGTTTGAGCCCACTAGCTACTCCGTGAAAGAAAGATGAGGCTTTCTGCTCCCGTAAAGATTTACAGCCTCAGAAACCTTATACAGAGTCACTATGAGTTGGAACCTTCTCGATGACACTTAACAACAAAACAACAACAACTATAGTCCGTGAGACCACTGTATCCCACAGAAAACAGCACCTTTCCCCCATGGGTGGGGGGGTAACTCAAAAAGTCCACATTTGAGAGGCACCTCCTCTATGTTCACTTTCTTGGGACAGAGATTCCTCGGGCCTCCCAGGGCAGGTCGGGGCTCCGCGGAGAAGCAACCCCTGGGCGGGCCAGCAGAGCCTGAGGACAGGTCTTGCTCGGTTTCAGGAGGAATCCCGCGCTGGGAGCCGCAAACAGGGCGCTGGCGCGCTGGCTGCCGGCCGAGTACGAGGACGGGCTCTCCCTCCCCTTTGGGTGGACGCCAGGGAAGACACGGAACGGTTTCTCTCTCCCACTGGTGAGGGCGGGGTGTGGGTGAGCCCTCTAGTATGTGGATGAAGGACGGGAGCCACAGGGGAGGGAATGTACCCCCCAAATACACACGGAAAGAGGGCAGGCGGACGGTCTATGGAGCTTCTGGAAAGAGATTTGGACCTGCTCTCTAGCACTGCTCCCCCCAAATGCCACCAGAGGGCAGCAGAATCCAGAATCTAGAGTCCAGACACGTGGTGGTCGCGACCCAGCTTCTGGCAGGCTGGATACCCTGAGGTCCCCCAGGCAGATGGCCTCCTAGCCCCATCCTGCTTGCGCTTAGACTGCCCCAGGCCCCGGAGTGCATCAGCTGTTGTTTGCCTGGAGGTCCTATCTGTTGGCCTCATCTTAAGTTGGCAACCCCAACTCAAGCCCCCATACACCTGGTACCTCTTTGGCGCTTGTTTCAAAGGAAGCCTGCCTTTGTTTTCCCTCCCGATAGTGGAAAGAGAGCTGGTCCTGGAAGCTATATAGAATTGGCTCTATCCTACCTCTGTCCCTTCGAAACAGCAGGAGCGGGAAAAGCTGACTTCACCTTCTTATTCTTCATCACCCACCTCACAGGCTTATTATGGTGATTAAATGTACCTGCTATATAATCGTTACTCGAAAACTATAGTTGGATTTGAATCCTCAAAGCACCTTTGCCTCCAAACCTCCCCTTGTCTCTTCATTTATAGGCCCGCGAGGTATCCAATCAGATTTTTGGCTATTTGAATGAGGAGGGTGTTCTGGACCCAAACACATCCCTGCTCTTCATGCAGTGGGGTCAAATTGTGGATCATGACTTGGACTTTGCCCCTGACACTGAGTTGGGGAGTAGTGAGTACTCCAAAACCCAGTGTGACAAATACTGTATCCAGGAGGACAACTGTTTCCCTATCATGGTAGGTCCCCTTGGCTAGGTGAGTACCTTGGACATACCTCTTTTGCCCACCCTGATGTAGCAGACTTACTCCACCTGTCACCTGGGATCTCTTGTTGTTGTTGTTTTCAGGTGTCATTGAGTTGATATTGACTCATAGCGACCCTATGCACAACAGAACAAAACACTGCCTGCCTGGCCCTGGGCCAACCTTACTACTGTTGCCACGCTTGAGCCCATTGATGCTGCCACTTTGCCAGTCCATCTCGCTGGAGGTCTTCCTCTTTTTCTCTGACCCTCCACCTTACCAAACATGATATCCATTTCCAGCGACTGGTCCCTCCTGACAATATGTCTGAAGTATGAGAGGAAGTTTGGCCATCCTGGCCTCCAAGGAGCACTCTGGCCGCACTTCTTCCAACACACATTTGTTGATTCTTTTGACAGCCCATGGCACTTTCAATATTCTTCTCCAACATCATAACTCAAAAGCATCAATTATTCTATGGTCTTCCTTATTCACTGTCCAGCTTTTGCATGCATATGAGGTTATTGAAAATACCATGGCTTGTGTCAGGTGTACCTTAGTCCTCAAGCTGACATCTTGGGATCTCTTAGTAGATCTCAAATTCTGGATTGACAGTTTCCCAAGCCTAGGGTGTCCATTTGTTCATTCATCCTTTTTTTCCCCAGTAAAAAGACATTACTTTTATTTGTGGCTAACAATGCACTGTTGTTCTTGGTAAGTACTGTCGAGTCCGGTCTGACTCCTAGAGACCTTGTATGTTGTTGTTGTTATGTGCCATGGAGTCGGTTCTGACTTACAGCGACCCTGTACAGGGTTTCCGAGGCTGTAAATCTTTACAGGAGCAGAAAGCCTCATCTTTCTCCCACGGAACAGCTGGTTGTTTTGAACTGCTGACCTTAAGGTTCACAGCCCGATTCATAATCACTACGCTACCAGAGCTCCTTTCTTGGCCGTGAGGAGGTCTAAACCAACTTCACCTAGTGAGTTAACCTCATATAAGACCTTGTATAAGCACTGAGAATTCAAAGGTGTTTCAGCCCCAGGATGAAGGACCAATGTGAGAAAGGAACAAGTAAACCACCAATGACAAAAATCAGGTCACTCTAGGGAGAGTTATCTAAGTCTGTGAGGCTCCGTAGCTTTGGCAATAGCTGGGGGCTTATTAAAAATGCAAAATCGCAAGCCTCACCCAGACATTTGTAAACAGAACCTACATGATTGGTGTCACACACAATAAAGTTTGTGAAAAGATGCTCTAAGTCATCCTGAAGTCTGGGAAGGCTGTTCCCAGAAAGAGCTGAAACGTGATGGATGAGTTAGAGTAAGCCAGCAGGAATTTGGGGGAATTTCTAGCCGGAAGGGAGAGGAATTTGCAATGGTGCACCTTTGTAGGATAAGCACTGGACTGCTAATCACAAGATCTGCCGTTCAAATCTACCAGTCACTCCATGTGAGAAAGATAAGGCTTTCTGCTCATGTAAAGATTTATAGCCTCAGAAACCCTGACTCAGTAGTACTTAACAACAACCACCTTTTCTTATTATTCATGGATTTTACAGTTACAGAGCCATTTATTCACTCAGACAAGTCAAGGCTATGTGCTGTGGTAGAAAGAACATTGAGTGCAGAGTGAGGTCAATCTGGCTGGATCTGAATCCTACATCTTATCTGTCCAGTTCATAAGCCCTGGGCAAGTTACTCAACCTTTCTGAGACTCAGTTTTCTCACCTGTAAAATGGGACTGAGTTGTCTACTTTGCAGGGTTTTGTAATGACCAAAGTGAGGTAATTCTTGCATAATGTTTGACATGGTAGGTTCAAAATAAATACATGGTATTTATTATTGTTGCTGTTAAGTGCCATGGAGTTGGTTCAGACTCATAGCAACCCTGTATAGTGTTTCCAAGGAGCAGCTGGTGAGTTTGAAGCACCAACCTTGCAGTCCAATGCTTATCCTATAGCTCCACGTAGTAATGATTAGCAAATACTTTTTCATCTCTTGTCCAGCTTCTCTAAACCTGGAGCCCAAGCTGTGAAACACCAAATGATCCCCTTTAGCTCTCTTACATATAGTGAGATGTCATGAACTTCAGGGGTTTGTGGGCACAAGATGTGTGGTGTCAGCAGGAGGTATATGGTGTCAGCGTCTAGTACCAGGGTCTCAGGTAGATGCCATCAGCATCTTTGCCAGCTGTGTGCAGATTCAGCAGGAGAGAGATCCCCAGGCCTGGGCTGTGCCATTTCTGCCAAGTCATCCACTGCCCAATCTCTGCAGTTCCCACCCAAAGACCCCAAGGTGAAGACTCAAGGGAAGTGCATGTCATTCTTCCGAGCCGGGTTCGTCTGCCCCACTTCACCCTACAAGTCCCTGACCCGAGAGCAGATCAATGCTCCCACCTCCTTCCTGGATGCCAGCTTTGTGTATGGGTCGGAGTGGAGTCTGGCCAGACGTCTTCTCAACCTCAGCAGCCCTCTGGGCCTCTTGGCTGTCAACCAGGAGTTCTCGGACCATGGGCTGCCCTACCTACCCTTTGACAGCAAGAAGCCAACCCCCTGCGAAGTCATCAACACCACTGCCAGAGTGCCCTGCTTCCTGGCGGGTGAGTCTTGATTGGGAACAGAGGGGCCCAGGAACATGGGGATTTCCCTGGGGACTGAGAACAGAGTGAGACCACAAACTACATAAGGCATCTTCCAGGGAGCCTTTGCCATTGCTGTTTCTCATCATCTCTCTGGAAAAATGCCCACCAAGTCACCACTCCCCCTGGCACTGGTCCAGGATTGGCAGAAGAGCCCAGATGAATACAGAATTTAAGAACATTGTATTCACTGTAAAACAAATAAATAGATAGGGGGTGGGGGAGGTCCAGAAAAGCACTAAAAATATATAATAAAAACTACAGACAATTCCACTGCCCACGGATAATAACATAGTTATTGAGTGTTGCTATAACAGATCTACCACAAGTAGGTGGTATTAATAAACAGAAATTTATCTTCTCATAAGTCAGGAGACTAGAAGTCCAAACTCAGGGTTCCAAGTCTAGGGAAAAGATTCTTTCTGTCTGCTCTGGGGGAAGGTTCCTGCCTCTTTTCAGTTTCTCTTCCTTGGTTCCTTGTTGATCTTCACATGGCGTGTAATCTGTCTTCTCCAATCTCTGCTTGCTTCTCTGTGCCTAATCTCAAAGGTGAATGACTTAAAAGGTACTCCTGGTAGCGTAGTGGTTATGAATCGGGCTGCGAACCTCAAGGTCAGCAGTTCGAAACTACCAGCTGTTCCACAGGAGAAAGATGAGGCTTTCTGCTCCCGTAAAGATTTACAGCCTCGGAAACCCTGTACAGGATCGCTATGAGTCGGAACCGACTCCACGGCACGTAACCACCACCACCTGCACCAATATAGCCTCATTAACATGACAAAGAAAATCCTAGTCCCAAATGGGATTGCAACCACAAGTATGTTGTTGTTAAATGCCATCCAGTTCACCCACACTCAGAGTGACCTGTATAGGCTTTCTGAAGCTTTACAATCTTTTCAGGAGCAGAAAACTTCACCATTCTCCCATGGAGCAACTAGTGGGCTCAAACCACTGAGCATGCAGTTCAGAGCACAGTGTTTATCGTGTGGAGCTACCAAGCTTCCAACCACAGGTTTAGGAGTTAGGATTTACAACACATTTTGGGGCGGGGGGGGCGGACACAATCCAATCCATAACAATATATTTTTTTTTTCTTTTGTAGACACGAGGGAACTTCACAAAGTTTGTGGGGAAATTCCGTTATCTTTTTTTGTTTGTTTGTTTTGTTTTTAAATTTTTTATTGTGAATTGAGTTTACATGGGAGAACATTGGTTTTATACTCATCCTATCATATTTCATTTCATTGTAATGATTACAATCTCTTCCATGCATCATCGTTCAAAAGTGTTTGCTTCTATTTCTTTTGTTTTGTTTTTGAATGTACACAAAAACACTTAGGAATATACAATCATTTAAACAACCATCCATTATCTTTTAATTCCATTTTTCGACAAACTTTATGAAGCGCCTTCATTTAATTCTCCATTTTTCACATAATTGAAATCATACTATAAATAATACTCTATAGCATGTGTTATAGAGTATTTATAGTATGATTTAACATATCCTATGTCATAAAATATTCTTCTACAACATGTTTTTTAATGGTTGCTGTGACACACACGTACAAGGGAGCATGGTGGCTCCATTTGATAAGCACTAGTCTGAGAACCACAAGGTCTGTGGTTTGAGCCCGCCAGCCATTCCACAGGAGAAAGATCAGGTTTTCTGCTCCCTTGAAAATTTAAAGCCTCAAAAACGTTATACAGGGTTTTTTTCACCACATTTATTCAATCTGTATGCTGAGCAAATCCTCTGAGAAACTGGATTATATGAAGAATTATGGTATCAGGACTGGAAGTAGAGTCATTAATAACCTGCAATATGCAGATGATACAACCTTGCTTGCTGAAAGCAAAGAGGACTTAAAACACTTACTGATGAAGATCAAACAATACAGCCTTCAGTATGGGTTGCATCTCAAGGTAAAGAAAGCAAAAATCTTCACAACTAGACTAATAATTAACATTATATTAAATAGAGAAAAGACTGGAGCTGTCAAAGATTTCATTTTACTTGGATCCACTATCAACACTCATGGAAGCAGCAGTCAAGATATGTAACAACATATTGCATTAAGTAAATCTGCTACACAAGACCACTTAATAGTGTTGAAAAGCAAAGATACCAGTTTGAGGACTAAGGTGCACCTGACCCAAGCCATGGTATTTTCAGTAGCCTCATATGCATGTAAAAGTTGGACAGTGAATAAGGACGACTGTAGGAGAATTGATGCCTTTGAGTTACAGTGTTAGAGAAGACAGTTAGAGGTGCCATGGACTGACAGAAGAACAAACAACTCTTTGTTGGAAGAACAAGCAGAGAGCTCCTAAGAAGCCATGTTGGTGAGATTTCATCCCTCATACTTCAGACATGATTTCAGGAGGGACCAGCCCCTGGAGAAAAACATCATGCTTGGTAGAGATGAAGGTCAGCGAAAAAGAGGAAGGTTTCCCCACCACCACCACCACCATGAGATGGATTGGCACTCAAGCATAGCAATGGTAGTGAGGGTGCAGGACTAGGCAGTGTTTCATTCTGTTGTGCATAGGATCACTATGAGTTGAAACCAATTCGGTGGGACTTAACAACAAAAAAAATTTTAGGGCATTTTATAAACTACGTACAAAGTCCCCACTCCATATGGTAAACCACTAGAGTTCTCCCAATTCTGTTCATTTCAAGGGCTGATGTCTTCTCGGTCCTTGGTTTCAGAGACCTTTCCTCATCAAAAACAAACAAGGACAGAAAATGGCGTAACTGAAAGTTGGCCCATAGTCCAGAATCTCTCAGGAGATGTCTTGGACTTTGTGCCCACACATGCTTCACACCAAACTGAGTCCTTGCCCATTGTTCATAAAAATGTCCACTAAGTCCAAGCTTTAGTGGTATTAGACTTTCCTGCCAATTAGAAAAACAGGGAGAAGTAGCCATGAAACATATGGTCCTCCAACATTTCAGTGGTCTCCCTCTGCCATCCTTGCTTCTGTCCCCTTCTATCCCCTTCCCTCCGAGATAGTTTCCCAGCTCTAAATTTTTCTCTCTGTTCTACAGAGGAATTCACCCCCACCTAGGAGCCAGCCCTCAAGCCTGCATTTCCAAAACCTTCAAAATTGCTCAACAAAATTAAGAGCCTTTATTTGTTTTTTAATGGAGACTTGGAGTGCAACAATTAAGGATTAAAGAACCTATCAGCCTAGGAAACCCTATGGGGTGGTTCTGTTCAGTCCTATAGGATTGCAATAAGTCAGAATCGACTTGATGGTCTACAGTATTTGTTTGTTCTGTTTTTTTCTCAGAAGGCAGTTGGGATTATAGTTAGTAAATTTGTGTTTATTAATATTTTACTGTTTCTACAATCCTGAGAGATAAATTTCATGATCCCCCTTTTTACAGATTAGCTCAGTACGGCTAATAATTGTTAAATAACTTGTTTAAGGTCACACAGCTAGAAAGGGTAGTACACCCCATCTACTGCTTCCCAGGACTTCCTCTAAATTAACTAGAAGGCGGTGGTTAGGAGAAGGCCCCTGGGGCACCATCATTCCTTGTACTTTTGAGCACCTTCCTGACTTCTGTCTTCTAGGAGATTCCCGAGCCTCAGAACAGATTCTGTTAGCTACTTCCCACACCCTCTTCCTCCGAGAGCACAACCGCCTGGCCAGAGAACTAAAGAGACTCAACCCTCATTGGGATGGAGACATACTCTACCAGGAAGCCCGGAAAATCCTGGGAGCCTTCCTGCAGGTAAGGATGGAGCACTGCCTCGCACTCTGCCCAGCTAGCTGGCTCCTCTCTGACTCAACACTTTGCTCATTGTCACACATCCATTACTTCCTCTGTTTGCCACACCTCCATTTCCCCCTTCTGTCCTCGGCTGCTTCCATCCCATTGTCTGATTCTTTTCATCCTTACCTTCTCTCTTTTCTTTAGTTTTGCTCTCCACAAATCAATCCCTGGATTCAGAACACCAGATAGGCATTAACAGGTTGGTCACTTGGTGTGCTTGTCCGAGTCCCTTCATTGGGACCGGGGGGATCCATCACTCCTGAAACTGTGGCATAGTGGGTATTTTGGCTTAATTCTCTTCCTTTGTTATCCTTTATAATTCTTGACACCTGAACCACATGTCATGTTGTTGATTGTCTGGTTGACTAGAAGAGATTTGAAAATGCTCATCTATTAATATTAACCATATACATATTTTAAAAGCATTTTCTTTGATAATGTCAAAGGAAGGTGCAAAAAATGTATAGGACAAAGTTCAGAAAGGTTAGGAAAGAAGGAGGAATAGAAACAGGAAACACAGGGAAAATGCAGAATAAATGCTCTAACACTGAGGAGATTGAAATTTATGAGGTGAAACAAAAAATGTATGAAATGTTGAATGTAAAACTGATGATCTGCTTGTAAACCTTCACCCAGATCACAATAAAAGGTTTAAAAAATGTATAGGGAGGTCTCTGTACCCATAACCCAGGCTTCCTCAATGATAACATCTTGCATACCTATAGTATAAGATGAAACCAGGAAATTAACATTGAAACAAACCATAGAATTTAGTCAGATCTGACCAGTTACAAATACAATCATTTGTGCCTCTATGCGTATGTTGTTGTTGTTAAGTGCTGTTGAGTCGGTTCCGACCCATAGCGACCCTATATAAGGTTTCCGAGGAGCAGCTGGTGAGGTGAGCTTGAACCACTGACCTTGCAGTTCAAATGGCTTCGCAGTCTGGAACATTAACCCACCGCGCCACACCAGGACTCTGTGTATAGATCTATGCAATTTGATCACATGAAATTTCATGTAACCATGGCCACAGTAAAGGTACTTAATTAAACCATCACCCCAAGGCTCCTTCATGCAGCTCTTTGAATCACATTCAACACCACTCCTCATCTCTAATCCCTGACAACCGGTAACGTGTTGCCCATCTCTAAAACCAGGATACAATTCCAAATCATGGTGACTGCATGTATTATAAAGCAGCACTGCTTTGCTTTTGCAAATATTTTATGAATACTAAATAAATGAAAGCATGCAGCATGCAATCTTTTGAGATTTTTTTCTTCATTCAGCATCATTTTCTTGAGGTTCATCCATGCCATTGCATATACTAGTAGTTTATTTCTTTCTGTTGGTGGTTTATTTAACCAGGTGGCTTCCAGGTCTGGGCTATTGTGAACAAGCTGCTAGACCATTTGTGTACACGTTTCTTCATGAAAATAAGTTTTTATTCCTCTGCTCAGAGTGCAGTTGCTGGGCCATGTGGAAAGATTTTGCTATTGGCATTGAGTCTCAGATCTCTTTGTTTAGCCCTAGATCCCAAATATTTTCTGGAAGTTTGATAATTTTATGGTTTATACTTAAAATTAATCTTTGTATAAAGTGTGAGGTTTAGGTCTAGGTTCTTTGGGGTTTTTGTGTTTTGTTTTTGTCTCTGAATGCCCAATTGCCTTAGTACCACCTATTAAAAAGGTTATCCCTCCTTCATTGAATTGTTTTTGCTCCTCTGTCAAAACTTAATTGGGCATATTGGTGTGGATCTACTTTGGGGTTATCTATTCTCTTTCATCAATCTATGTGTCTATTCTCCTGTTTGATAACTGTAGCGAAAAAGTAACCCTAAAATGTAATAATATGATAATCAGTAAGTTAAAGTGACACATAAGGACTGCCACTTTGGCATGCAAGTCATAAAATAAGAGAAAAGATGGCAGATTCAGTGCAGTGCATCTCCGCCACTAAATCCAGATAACCCCCATGTTGAGACAAATCATGAGATCAGCAGAAAGAATGTCATGATCAATTAGCGATGCCTGCCTCACCTGACCATATGAAGAGGGATTAGATACATGTGCTCTCTACTCGCCATCCTTGGTTTTGACTGTTGGTCCCTGTAAACCACAGTTCCTCACCACCTTCCCTCTGCAGAGCTTTACCAATTCTCACTCCATTTCCCCATGGCTTTCCCTCCAGATTGTCACCTTTAGGGACTACCTGCCCATTGTGCTAGGAGAGGAAATGCAGAAGCAGATCTCTCCATACCGAGGCTACAGCGAATCTGTGGATCCCCGAATCTCCAATGTCTTCACCTTTGCCTTCCGCTTTGGCCACTTAGAGATTCCCTCCACTGTGTCCCGCCTCGATGAGAACTATCAGCCTTGGGGTCTGGAGCCTGAGCTACCCCTGCATACCCTCTTCTTCAATACCTGGAGGATGGTCAGAGATGGTAAGTCCAGTCAGATAAGTGCTGTCACCCAGCATTCCCACTCTCCAACCTGCTTGTCAGGAAACCTGGCTTAGAACTCACTCCAAGCATTTTCTGTGTGCCCTTAGGCAAGTGAGTTAATATCCCTGAGCCTCAGCTTCCTCATCTATAAAATGGGGATGATAATGGTACCTATCTCACTAAACCAAAAAACCTTCCAGTCAATTCTGACTCATTCTATAGAACAGAGTACAACCGCCCATAGAGTTTCCAAGGCTATAAATCTTTACAGAAGCAGACTACCTCATCTGTGTCCCAAAGAGCAGCTGGTGAATTTGAACCACCAACCTTTTGGTTAGCAGCCCACTGCTTAGCCCATGGAACCACCAGGGCTCCTTTCCTTTCTCACTAGGATATCTGAAATAATTCAATGAGATACATGTATAGCACACCCTACAAGGTTCCTGACACAGAAAGTAGTTAGTATAAATTAGTTATTTCCTTCCTCTTTCTGGCTTCTAATGTGCCTAGGATGTCCCTACCTCCTTTCTCTGCCCTAAATTTCTGTAACCCTTGTAAAAAGAATTCATGTGGTTGGCAAACACGAGCATAGTTTTCTGGTCTCATCTAAGGCCTTCCATCTCCATTAGGTGTCAGAGGTTGGACCTAATTCTTTTTTTGCTCCAACTAGCCTGAGCTGAGGAGCTCTGGTAGCATAGTGGTTACAAATCAGGCTGCGAACTGCAAGGTCAGCAGTTCGAAACTACCAGCTGCTCCGCGGGCGAAAGAGGCTTTCTGCTCCTGTAAAGACTTACAGCCTTGGAAACCCCATTCAGGGTCACTATGGGTTGGAACCGACTCGACGGCACTTAACAACAACAACAAGACTGAGTTGAGAACTGCTTTATTTAAGGCCTGACAAGTCAAGGCCATTCCTAAAGATTTATACCACCTCTCCCTCAGATGACAATGTTCCTCAGAAGAACACATGGAAGAAGGAGCCAACACCATGAACCACATCTTGAAGAAAATCCCAAAACTTGTATTCATGACATCATTCCATGAATATCCCTTCCAGAGAGTTGGTCTGCCCACATTGGGTTACAATATACTCTTCTCTTCCAGATACCAGCCTGACAAGTTCAGTTGACCCTGTTTTCACTTGAGAGAAGATGTCTGGTGGGAAGAGGGGGCAACAGACGATGTCCCACCCACATATTGACCTCTGGCGCTACCTTACAGGTGGAATTGATCCTCTGGTACGGGGCCTATTGGCCAAGAAGTCCAAGTTGATGGATCAGAATAAAATGATGACAGGAGAACTACGCAACAAACTATTCCGGCCACCTCAAAAAATTCATGGCCATGACCTGGCCGCCATCAACATACAACGGGGCCGGGACCATGGCCTGCCTGGTGAGTAGCCCAGGACCACCCTGGTCCTGGGGAGCCTTTAGCTACTTTGGGGGCTTCTGGGGACTCTGTCTGCTGTAATCTTGAGGATCTAAATTCTAAAACAGAGGGCAGGAAGACCATTTTTAAAACTTGGTTTGCTTAGCTATGAAATAGAATCTTCCTTTCTCTTGAGTGCAGACAAGAGAGCATACCTGGTACTATCTTGGAATGCCTCAAAAGAAAAAGCAATTGACAACTAGTTTGTAAAACCAGTTTCAAAGCAGAAATAAGATGAGTAAAAGGAGAAAGAATAGAAATTAATGACTGTTAGACCTTTCTTTTGTGCCCAAGAAATGCAATTTAACATAGTAATTGGGCCTGACTGCCTGAGTTCAAAGCCCAGCTGTGCCATTTACTAGTTATACAACCCTGGGAAGTTACTTGATATCTGCTTTTCCATTGAGAATATTTGTCCTGGGCTTAGACTCATGCCTGGACCCGTAGTTAGCTCCCACATAATCTAACCTCTAGAGACCAAAATACCAAAGGAAGGTATAAACAGTGGATCACTGCTTCCTTCATCCCAAAAGGCTGGGAACCCAGACTTTCTAGGGCTGATGAAGCTGGAATAGTTATGTCTCCAAGAAGGATGTGGGCAGGAAACCTGTGGGGTGACACAGCCTTGGCCTCCCCATTGTAGCGTACAACTCCTGGAGAAGCTTCTGTGATCTCTCCCAGCCCAAGACAATGGAGGAGCTGAACACTGTGTTGAAGAATGAGATGCTGGCTAAGAAATTACTGGATCTCTATGGAACTCCTGATAACATCGACTTCTGGATGGGGGCCATTGCAGAGCCCATGGTAGAGGGAGGCCGGGTGGGGCCTCTCCTGGCCTGCCTCTTGGGGAAGCAGTTCCAACAGATCCGAGATGGAGACAGGTATATGTAACTTTGGCGAGGGAGGGCTGGACGGAGCATCCCAATTATTATCCGACATAAGGGCTAACTCCAGACCTCAGCCTAGGTGGGGCTTTCTCCTGTTCCCCATGACCTCATTCCTTACTAGTCTCCTCATCATCCCCTTGGTGAGCCTTACCCTCTGCCCTCACAAGATTGGGGTGAAGGGATCTCTACTGGTTGGTAATCACCAGGGTGAAATTTAAGTCACCCTCTGTAGAATCAGCACTAGGGCATCCAGAGGCCCTCGGAGGGACACTTCCTCCCCTTTGGCAGGTCGGGGATGAGCTGCCACTGGACCATTTTGAGAAACTCTGCTCTATCTCTGCAGGTTCTGGTGGGAGAACCCTGGGGTCTTCACCAAGGAACAGAGGGATGCTCTTCGGAAAGTATCCTTCTCACGCCTCGTCTGTGACAATACCCACATCACCAAAGTCCCCCTGAACCCATTCCAGGCCAACAGCTATCCCCAAGGCTTTGTGGATTGTTCCGTCATTGATAAGCTGGACCTTTCACCCTGGGCCTCAGTGGGAAAGTAGGGGCCTGCGCACTGGAGCCTCCCACATGGCAAAGCCCCTGTAGCTGGTCCTTGATGCTTTTTTAGGCAAGTTCAATAACCTGGTCCCTTGAGTTCCACATTCTAAGAATGCGTCAGCCCTTCTTTTCAGCTGGGGCTCCCTACTGCACCAGAAAGTGGCCTCTCTCTGCCTAGGTGCAGCCGCCTCAGCCATTCTACTTTGTTCAGTTTGCTCTCACTGCTTCCGTTCCCATCTTCATTGCCTGTGAAAATCCCTCTTTCTGGAAAGACTTAGACCTCTGAGATGCCCTTCCAGTTTAGCCAGATGTGACCTCTTCTGTCCCCTGAGCCTCTCAAACTAGATTGTAAGCTCCTTGAGGCAAGGACATCTGCCTGCTTCTAAATATCCCCCGTGTCCCCCAGTATGGTTCTCAGCACACACATAGTAAGCGCTCAGTAAACATTTGTTGATTGAATAAAGATGCTGACAATGACAGCGCTCCCTTCCCAAAGCCAGGCTTTGGAATCCTCACCAAATAAGTAACTAGATGTTTCCAGTCCAGGTGTGCCTTACCTAAGAAACCATGGTTTGATGGGATCTCAAAAAGTTGTCAAAAGAAGGGGAGCCTAAGAAAAGAGGTAGTGGCCTTGGAGTAGCAAGAGAGCGCTGCTGTAATCATTGGGTCAGATACAGGTGGTGGTATCAAGAGATAAAATAAAAAGGAAAACCTACCTAGCCTGCATTCCACTACAGCCAAAATTAATTTTCCTTCTTGGAAAGTGCCATTTTCTTCTAGGGTACTCCTTGGGGTCTCCAAGGCCTCTGAAGGGACTAAGAACATCAAGACCAACCCAATGCCAATGAGTTGATTGCAACTCAGTGACACTAAGGACAGCGTAGAACTGGCCATATTGTTTCTAAGGATGTTACCTTTATGAAGGAGCCCTGGGAGCACAAGGGATTATGAATTGGTTGCAAACCACAAGGCCATCAGTTCCAAACCACCTGCAGCAACCCAGGAAAAAAAAATGAGGTTTTCTGCTCCAGTTAAGATTTCCAGCCTCAGAAACCCCGTGCAGGGCTGAATGCATCAGAACTAAGTTGACAGCACACCGCCACCATCGCCAATCTTTACTGAAGTCAGCTGTCACATCTTTCTTCCATGGAAAGGCTGGCTGGTGGGTTCAAACTGTTGACCTTTGAGTTAGCAGCTAATCACCACCCGGACTCCTTTCTGAAGGAGTAGCTCCATGGTATTCCTTATGCTGATGTCCAATACATATTCATAGGTATTGTAAAATGAACATGTAAAATGACCCTCTGGATAAGCTCAGCCAGGCTTAGGCCGTCACATCCTGACTGGTGGGGGCATGGGTTGAAAACAATTAGTCATCTTGTGGGACGTGTCAAAGGGTCAGCAGACCTGGGTTATAGCCCCTGTTCTAGCACTCATGTCTCCACAGCCTCAAATGAGTCCCCTAATACCTGTGAGCATGGGTTGTTGTTGTTAAGTGCCATCAAGTCAGTTCCGACTCATAGCGACCCTGAACAGGGTTTCCGAGGCTGTAAATCTTTATGGGAGCAGAAAGCCTCATCTTTCTCCCGCAGAACAGCTGGTAGTTTCGAACTGCTGACCTTGAGGTTCACAGCCCAATTCATAACCATTATGCTACCAGAGCTCCTTGTGAGCATGGGTGGATAACATTTATTCTGCTTCTCACCACGGTGAGTTTCTAAGGGTATCTAGGGCAGGTGCAGGTACTTTACACCCTATTACTAGGCACACCTTCAGGCTCCTGGCAGCATGGAAGAGGGAGGGAAAGAATCAGACTCAAGCTCCAGGCAAGACTGTTAGAAAATGACACTCCTGTCCCTCCTTCAGTGCTAACCTGTCCCTCTCCTGGGCCATCATTGTCCTTGTTCTGGGGACCCAGCCATGAGAAGCCAATGTGAGCAGGAGTCTGGTGCCTTGAAGGCCCTGAGACACTGTGCCAGGTTGAAGGGATACAGGATCCAGAGATGCCCTGTCACCTGGGGAGGGCCTGCCTGCTCACCACACCTGTCTTCTCTCCCACTAGACTGTGAATGTCTTGAAGGCAGGACAGCATTTTGTCTCCTCAGCACAGGACACAAGGCCTGACATGGAATGAGCATGTAGCAAATGTTTGTCAGAGCAGTGACTGAACCTACCTAAGGCCTCAGTGACTACAGTTCCTATTCTCCAGGGTGGTATGGGTGTCTCCTCAGCCTGACCTGGCCCGTGGGAGTCTAGAAACCAACAATCCTCCATCTATGAACCAAATCACACTAGATCCAGGGTCAGCGTCCAGAGGGAGCCTCCTGTGAGGTTCCTGTCCCAACACAGACACAAAGAGATCCTCATCAGCAATGCTTTATTGTCATAAACATCAGGTCCAAACAAGTAACAAGGAATTGCTGCTGGGCCCCAGTTCCTCTCTAGACAAGCTCCTGTGGATAAGCAAGATAGCAGGGTAAGGGAGAAAGGGGACATTGTGGACTATGTCCAGCTCTCCTGGACCCCTAAGTTGACTACCATCAGACCAAATGTTAATGGATCATTTCCCAGGAGTCATCTGCTACTTCTCATGGCCAGGACATGGTCAGGGTGTAAGTCCCAGGAGAGCACAAAACGATGTCATTCTCACCTCTCTATGTGTCCTGTGTTAAGCACAGTGCCTGACACATAATAGAGGATCAATAAGTCAAATCCTAACCAGTTGCCATGAAGTTGACCCCACTTCATGGCCACCCCATGTATGTCAGAGTAGAATTGCTCCATAGGGTCTTCACGGGCTGTTTTCTAAGGATCAGATCCTCATCAGGCCTTCCTTCTGAGGTTCATCTGGGTGGACTCAAGTCACCAACCTTTCAGTTAGCAACCAAACACATGAACTAACTGTACCACCCAGGAACTCCTAAGTGAAGAACTAGAGGTGCAAACAAGCCCTAAAGAGCTATAATAGTTATAGTTTAGAAGAAAGAAAACCCAGGTTTAATGAGGTTGAATAATTTGCCAGAGGTCACACAGCTAGCAAACTGAAAAGCCAGGATTTGAACCCAGGCAGTCTGGTGCCTGAACTTGCACCCTTCACCAATCCACTCTGGCGCCTTCCATATACATAATAATCACATAAACAGCCAGCACATATGATACGCACATAGACAGTACACAAAAATCTACCAGGTTCATAGACAACACATGGGAAATGCCAATTTATGTACTTTACACACACTCACACATGAACGCATGTCTGGTCACAGATTCTTCTTGGCTGACATCTAGAACAGGGATGAGCTCTGCCTTGGGGAAGAAAGAGCTCTGTGGTCCCAGCTGGCCAACCAAGCATGCTCACTCTGCATGCTGCATCCCCTGACCCAGCCCTTAGGCCTTGTCCCTCCAGGAGGTCAGATCCAATGCAGGGAGCGTACTGCAGTTGACAAAGTCCCGGGGGAACGTGTTAGACATGAAGATGTTGTTCTTGGACACAGTGGTGATGCCTGTGTTGTCGCAGATGATACGAGGTAGGGAGATCTTGGCCAGGGCCCGCCGCTGCTGTGTGCTAAACACACCCTTGTTCTCCCACCAAAACCTACACAGAAATACGGCAGGCATTGTGCATGAGGATACAATCGGGGCTTGGTGGGCGTCAGCTGGCTTGAGCTGCTCCCTGTCAGCCAGGGGCCTTCAAGCAAGTGGAGCCCCATTCCCAGTGCAAAGTAAAGCACAGCTGCCTCCTTGACCCCACCCCAGCAGTCTTCAGCACCAGTAATACTGGTGGCATATACTGGCTCACCAAGTCCTATGTCCCTGTGAGAGGCCGGATCCAGTGGGGAGAAGGAAGGGGAGAGAATTTGGGGGGGGGGGGTTATAGTTGGTCCATTTAGAGAGGGAAACTTTCCCTAAGTTTCCCAAGGCACAACAGGCTAGGTGAGAAGGACAGGACAGATGTCAAGGTCATGGGGAGATGGTACTGGGGCAAGTTATGGGAAAGAAAGGATCAGACTTCTCAGTAGTAATCGACACATCCGTGTCAAGGGTGACATCACCTCTGTTACTCTCCCCTCATCTCCAGTGACCCAGGACCCTCCTTGCTGCAGCCCCAACAGACTCAAGGCACTTTGGGGATGGCCTTGAAATACACTGGGAAATGACAGATTCCTTCCAGCCTCTTCATTTGACAGGAGGAAGATACTGGCATTCCTGAGAGGTCTAGGAATATGCCCACAGACAGACACACAGCAAGCCTGAGTCACTTCCTTACCTATCACCATCCCGGAGCTTCCTGAACTGGGTCCCTATTAGGCAGGCAAGGAGTGGACCCACCCGGCCATTGGGCAGCAGGGGCTCTGCCACGCCACCCATCCAGATGTCGATGTTGTTGGGTGTGCCGTACTGGGCCATCAGCTTCCGTGCCAGGGCCAGGTTCTTCATCACAGTGCCCAGCTCGCCCACCGTTTTTGGCTGTGTGAGTCCACAGAAGCGCCTCCAGGCATTGTATCCTGTGTAGGAAATGAGGGAGGTGGCTGTGGGTATGTCCCTTTTCTGTAAGATGGGAGGTCACTGGGAATAGCTGGGAGATCCACAGGAATACATGTCATAAACTCAGAAAGTCTACCTTTCCAACACACTAAGGTCAATTATAGGAGTCCTGGTGTGGTGCTGCAGGTTGGTGCATTGGACTGCAAAGTAAGTTTGAACTGCAAGGTCAGTGGTTCAAATCCACCAGCCGCTCCTTGGAAACCCTATGTAGGGTTGCTAGGGTTGGAACCGACTCCACGACACTTAACAACAAGGCCAATTATGGGAGTACATGAGGAAGAAGAACACAGAAAGGCTAGTCCCTGACTATATGCTCCTAAGGAACCCTGACCCCCTGGCTCAAATCAAGACCCAATCTGTCTCCCTCTTGCCCTCCTACTATAAGACAAACCCTTGTTGTTATTGCGAAGTGCCGTCGACTCATAGTGACCCTGTAAACAAGAGGGAGCTTGCTTCCAAGGAGTGACTGGTGGGTTTGAACTGCTGATCTGGTTAGCAGTCCAATGCTGATCCTACAACACCACACCAGGATTTGTCCTAATTCTTCCCAGGTCCAGGAATAGACACTACCCTCTGGAGCTACCCAATAGCAACTCAGTCTGATCTGAGATGAAGTGTGCCTAGAAGCTCCACCACACAGGCTGTCCCATAAGGCAGCACAGGTTTGGGAATCAAGCTGATCTGGGTTCAAATCCTAGCTCTGCCACTGATTGACTGGGAAAACCTGGATAAGTTGGAAATTTTTCCAAATCTCAGTTTCCTCATGAGCAAAATGGAGGTGAAAATAATATCTTCTTAGACTTCATATAAAATGAAGCTAAAGAAAATTATGGAGACAGATTTTTGGACTGAGAAGGGACTTGTTGTGATAACTGTCATGATGTTCCAAGTTTGAGGGTAACAGCAATTCAGTACAGGCCAGGAGGAGCTGAGCCAATGGATCCAGGGAGAAGTTGGGGTCTGACCTCACACTACTTCCTAAGAACAAGGCAGTGGGGTAAGAAGAAACTTTGGAGCAGCTGGGAGCACTGAGGAGGGCAGGGTCCCTAGAGTGGATCTGGGAGCCCAGTGGGCAAGCTTTAGCACCTCTCTCTTTTCCTGTTTGGCTGCTGAAAGGTGGGGTGAGGGTACTCCTACAGCCCCTTACCTGCGAGACCATGGTCCCGGCTGCGTTGCATGTTCAGAGCCGGCAGGTCCAGTCCAATCCTCATGACCTGCTTGAACAACCGCTCCCGAATCTCATCCACCACAATTTGGTTCTGGCGATTCAACTTGGCAGGGGTGGCCATGAGACCCCGGAGGATGGGGTCTATGCCACCTGGAGGCAAAAAGAACGAGGTTGTGGAAGGACCTGGTTCAGTATCCGAGATCAGGTTGGAGTCAGGGACAAGCCCAGGACAGGGGTGAGAGAAGAGAAGAGGGCTGGACACATGTAGCTCCTGGTGCTGAGAAGGCAGGTCTTCACAGCTCACCTTCACATGAGCCAAGGGAATAAGATCTCAGGAAACTAGACCTTTTAGACCTGAAGGTTGGTTTACACTCAGCACATCTGTTATTCTCATGAAGAACAGCAATACATAGGAAGGAACCAATTCCCTGTAAGAGCCATCTCTATCTCCACTCTCAAAGAGGCCTTCCTCACTAATTAGAAAGCAAAGTCAGGTGAATGGTGACTAGAAAGTCAGATTCAGATCAGATCCTTGAAAATGTTAAGAAAAGAGAATGTCTCCCCACTATTCTCCCTGCCCACCCTCAGATGCCAGTCCATTTTCTAGGCCCAGGCCAGCCTCACCTTCCAGTACCACCCTCCAGGTGGCAAAAAAGACTTCACTAAGTGGGACACGGCTAATGGGCCGGTACTGATTGTCCAGGCGGAACATGAAGGGTTGGATGAGGGTGTGGCCATAGCGGAAGGCATTGGTGAAGACGTTGGCGATGCGTGGGTCCACCGAGTCATTGTAGCTGCGGTATTTGGGTAGGTATTTCCTCAAGGCCTCTGGCCCCAACACCAGGGGCAAATAGTCCCGGTAAGTGATGATCTAAAGGAAAGATTTCAGATTGGCCTCTCTATTCACCTTGTCTAACAGAGTGGTACCATGTGGTATATAAAAAAAGAGTTCTACTGCTTGCTATGTGAAAAATGCTGTGTGTCTTAGGGCCAGTTATTAACCTCTCTGAGCCCCAGTTCTTCAAATGTAAATTAAGGATCATTATATTGTCCATTGCCTTGTCGTTATTTTTGTATGCTACTTCCTAGGTTGTAATCTTTATAGGAAGGAGCCCTGGTGGTGTGGTGGTTAACGGCTTGACTGTTAACCCAAAGGTCAATGGTTTGAATCTACCAGCTGCTCTGTGGGAGAAAGACAAGGCAGTCTGCTTCCATAAAGATCATTGTTGTTCTGTTGTTAAATACCATTGCGTTAGTTTCGACTCATAGAGACGCTTTATAGGGTTTCCAACCTTGCAGTTCAAACCAACCTTATGGTCAAGCGCTTATCCTACAGGGTCACACCCTAGAAATCCTACAAGGCAATTCTACTCTTTCCTATAGGGTTGTTGTGAGCTGGAATCAAGTCAGTGACATTGGGTTTGATTTTTGGTGTTTGGTAATCTTTAGGGAGAAATCACTAGGTCTTTTCTGCCATAAAGCCACTGGTGAGTTCAAACCACTGACTTTTTGGTTAGTGCTTCACTATTGCTCGTTCCCATCGCCTTGGATTAAATAACAAAAGGCTTTATCTTTGCAATAACTGATGTCTCACTTCTCCTCTTAGCAGGTAAGTTCCTGAAGGGTTCACAATAGGGCTCAATATATGTTTGTGGAAGTGGAGGGAAACAGTCTACCCCAATGAAAAGGGAAGCTGTAAAACAGCATCACTCTAGATTCTGGCATTCTAGAATTTTCTGTGAAGCTTAAATGAATCGCACGTAAGTCCTTAGCACAAGTCAAAAACTCACCCTTAGCGCCTGCAACTCTCCCTTCAGAGTCAAGGGGTACTAGATAGGTGTGCATGTGTCTGTGTGTGTTTGCATCTGGGGGACAGCAGGGTTGCTGAGAAAGCAGCCAGGAGCACGGTTTCAGGATAAACGAGACAATTCCCGCTCACTGGCCAGGGCAAAGTCAAAAAGAGGAAAGGGGATGAAGGAACACAAGGGTGACTCTGAAATTGAGGAAGGAAGAAGCATTTACTGAACAGCTACTATGTGGCAGGAACCCTTGAGAAGAAGAGGAGGAAAGAAAAGTAACCTTAGTTAGATACCTAATACCTGCCAGGTGTTTTCATTTGTGTGTCCTTTATCCCTTACACCATCCTGGATGAAGAAACTGAGGCTTAAGAGGTTTAAGTAACTTGCCCAAGGTCACATAGCTAGGAAGCTACAGAGGCAGGTTTGCATTTCAAGTTTGTCCAGTCCTCCCTCCTCTTGCCACCCCTCTCCAGCATCACAGACACTCAGGACTGCCTACCTGGACCATGGCACCGACAATCTTCCGGGCTTCCTGGTAAAGCCGCTCTCCATCCCAGCGGGGGTTCAGACGCCTGAGCTGTGTGGCCAGCCGGTTATGCTCCCGCACAAGGAGGGTGTGCATGGAGGTGAGCTCAGGCATCTCACTTGAGCGAGTGTCCCCTTGGTAAAACAAAAGCCACCATGATTTCTAAGACCTCCATCCCAGGCCATGGCCTACAGTGCCCCCACCCCTCTTCTCTCTCCATCTTCCCACGCCAGGCTTCTATAGGAGGTGGTCCCTGATGTCCCAGTCTGTCATAATAGCTTCTTCTGCTTAGGCTCACTGCTGTTGGAAATGCTCATTTGGTAGTCATCACATCTAACACGTGACTTACCCCCTTCCCATCTATGAGACTGGGAGACCCTTGAGGACAAGGACCACGGCTTCTACCTTTCTGTATCTGAACTCCTTCCCAGCACACACATACTCATAGACATGAAGGGCTTAACACAGTGAGTTGTTGTTGTTGTTGTTAAGCACTGTTGAGTCGATTCCGACCCATAGTGACCCCGTATAGGGTTTCCGAGGAGCGGTTGGTGAGTTTGAACCGCCGACCTTGCAGTTCAAACAACTTTGCAGTCTGGCACATTAACCCACAGTGCCACACCAGGACTCCAACACAGTGAGTGCCTGGTACAAAATAGGAGATTCATTGGTTGACTGTGGTGAAGGTCAAAACACAGCATGCATGTTGGCACTCCCAATTTCCATGTCAGATAGAGTTAATGGATCACAGCACTTTCTCCTAAAACTGGATAAACTTCAATACAGGACTCGAGAAAACCACGGTCATCTGATCCGAGTTGCCATCTTTACCTTAACTACATGCTGGTTGTACAGCCTGCTTTGGGTGGTGGGGAAACTAGGGTATAGGACTTTTGGAGTCCACACCCAAGGTCCTGTTCAAGAGAACTGAAGGAGACCCTGATCCCTCTAGGCCTCCAGAGTAGGGACCAGAGGCCTAGGGCCAGGCTCACTTCAAAAAGATCTGGGTTCATGCCTGACCAGCTTCTCCACCCATGAGCATACAGAAGTCACAAGGAGTCAGGCCTGGGATGTTCAGCTCTTCACCAGGATGAAAGCAGACCAGAGGAGGCCAGTCCCTTCCCAGGAAGCCCACACTGGTGCTGTCCTTGCTATTCCTCCCCATGGGCACTTGATTCTCTCCACCTGGCTGAGGGGCAGGGTAGCCAGAGCAAAGAGCATCTACTAAACTTACATTTTAAAATATTGGAAAATTTCTGGCGTGACCACTAGTACCATCCCAACCTCATCTGGAGGATACTTGCTTTTGTTTTTTAACTGAAAATTCCATCCTTTCTTATTAAGGTTCTTCAATATGGACCAAAACCAAAAGCCACTGACACGGAGTTCAACTCATAACGATCCAATAACACAAAGCAGAACGGCTCCCTAGGGTTTCCAAAGCAGTAAATCTTAACAGGAGCAGACTTCCTTTCTCCATGTCTTCCTCCTGATGAGCGGCTTGTGGGTTCTGAAGCCCAACACTTAACCCACTGCACCTCAGAGCTCCTAATCAATCTGAGCAGCGCTATCCAACAGAACTTCCTGCAATGAGGAAAATGTTCTACATCTGTGCTGCCCAATATGGCAGCCACTGGCCATATGAAAGTCTCAGTGGTTAAAAGTACTTAGCCGCTATCCAAAAGGTATGCCATTTGACCCCACCAGCTCCTTCTTGAGAGAAAGATGTAGCAAAGGTTTACAGTCTTGGAAGCCCTATGGATCAGTTCTACTCTATCCTAAGGACCACTATGAGTTTGAATCCACTCAACAGCAGGGGCTTTGGTTTGGTTTTGATTAGCCATATGAAGCTATTGAGTACTTGAAATGTGACTGGTACAACTGAGGAAGTGAATGTTTAATTTAGCTTAATTGAACTTAATTGAAATTTAAATAGTTACATGGGGCTAGTGGCTACTCTATTGGATAGCTCACTTCTAGAGAGTAATGGTGTTACATTGCTCACTGTCCCTCTAGCTCCCTGTCCCTGAGGGACTCCACTCTCCTCTCCTCCAGAGTCCAGGGAAGAAAACAAAGACTGAAAAAGGGTGAACAGATGGGAAGAGTCTTCTCACCATGCCTATGCGTCCATCTTCGGATTTTATTTTTATTTTTGGCCTTTCTGGCTCCATCCAACTATTTACCAAGGCAACTGATTAATAGCATGAAGTTGGTGAGGATGGAATTTCTCTAAATGCAAATGCACAAACTCTCACAAGCAGGCAGGTTGTAACTCCAACACAGCACAGCCCCTGAGCCATCCCACCACTGACTGACCTGCCAGGAAGCAAGGGATGCGCACAGAGCGGTTGGTAAGGAGGCAGGGGTCATCGTGCAGGTTGTCGAAGGGCAGCAGAGCCCTGCCGTTGTCCGTGAAGCGGTCATTGACCTTCAGCAGCCCCAGCTGCTGGTTAGTCAGGTTTCGGAGGTCCCTGGCTAAGGGATCCTCGCTACCATACACCATGCTGGCATCCACGAAGGAGGTGAGCGCATTGATCTGGTTGCGGATGGTGATGTTGCCCCCAGTGCAAGCTGGGCAGGAGCGGAAAAAGGGGATGCAGTCACGTTGGTTCTTGATACGGGGGTCATTGGGTGGGATCTGTGGCACAGAGAGAGACCCAGCTGTTCACCAAGGGCGGGGACAGTGGCAAGGGTAGTTCTTCCCCTGCCCATCCTCCTGAAGGCCCTAATTCAATCTGGAAAGCAGCCCTGAGGTCCAAAAAGGGAGAGGGTGACTCAGACACCAAAGCAGGAGTCCCCCAAGATTATTTGGCCCCTTCGTGCTGTTGGAAGGTCACTCCTATGTCCCCACATCATCACTAAGCAAGGTACCTCTGAGCATCCTTCCTCCACACTAAACTTCTTTCCCTCTCTCCTTCTCTCCCTCTTCCCTATCTCTTCACAATCTCATTCTGCCTCATCACTTGCCTTTCTCCTCTTGGTTTTTCAGTCTCTCTGCTTCCTTCTTCTTCCTGTCTCTCCCAGTCTCATCCCTGTCGCTCCCCTCTTTCTTCCTCTCCCTCCTTCCTTTCCTCCTGTGTTTCATAGCCACCACCACCCCTTCTAAGGAGCTCTGATAACCTGAAGGTCAGCAGTTTGAAGCTACCAGCTGTTCCGCAGGAGAAAGATGAGGCTTTCCGCTCCCGTAAAGATTTGCAGCCTCGGAAACCCTGTACAGGGTCACTATGAGTCGGAACCCACTCCACCGCACACTATCACCACTGCCACTGCCACCCCTTCTCAGTATATGTTTCAGACCAACCACCCTACTCCCACCCATCCAGCACATCCTTGGACTCTGCTCTGAGTAAGGGGGAGAAGGGGTGGTAGGGGGAGACGGCACCCCTCCAAGGGGAAAACAGGGCCGAACAAAGGGACTCCTACACTCCCGAGGTTTGAAGGATCCTGTGAAGGGCCCCCACCCCAGGACTTTCTCCCAGTCTAACAAAGAGCCAATTAAAAACATGCCTGGGCGAGGCAGGAGCAGAATGGGAGCCCCTGGCTGAACACTATCTACTCTGAACTCCTCTAAACTCGAGAAGGGTGGGTGGGTGGGCAGGGTTAGCCTTACCCATTAGGGGCTGGGAAAAGGAAACCTGGGCACTTCTGGAGTATCATCCCTCCTCCCTACCCTGAAGGCTCGGGAAGAACCATCACCTTGAGTGGGAAACAGGGTGGCTGCTGCAGGCAGCTGGTCTCACAGTTGAGGCCAGTGATGAAGGAGACCCTGGCGGCAGGTTCAGGGGTGAAGTCGAGGTCGTGGTCCAGCAGCTGACCCCATTGCATGAACATGAGCGAGCGCTCCTGGTCCGGGGTCAGCTGCTCGGTGGGGAAGCGCACGATTGCGTTGGAGACTGCGCGAGCCTGTAGGGGGACCGAGAGTCTGGCGACAGCCTGGACCTCTGATGGCCTGGGGACTGGCCTCGAGCCCGCTAGTGCTCACCAAGGGCACAGGGAAACCGTTGCGCTTGACCCCGGGTGTCCAGCCGTAAGGCAGTGAGAAACCATCTTCATACTCGGCAGGCAGCCAGCGAGCAAAGGCCCGGTTGGAGGCCCCCAATGTGGGGCTCCGTCTGCGGGAAGGACAGGGGTGTGAACACCAGGTGGCGCCTTGGCCCGACCCTGGGCCCTGGCTCCTCCCCAAGAAGCCGCACCTGTTGTTGCACTTCCCAGTGATGGTCCGGTACTTGTCTCTGTCTGGGCACGTCACCCCCACGTCCTGGTAGGCACAGCCACTGGACTTTGAGAGCAGGTTCAGCTGGAAGGGCGTTAGCATGTCTGCCAGCCAGGGAGGAAGGTGTGAAAGCTGAGCCACGAGGCTGAGTGAGGTTGGGAACTTAGGACACCCTGGGTCCAGTCTGAGAACTTGGAGGGGATACTAGTAAGCCCCTAAGACTTCCCAAAGGGAGGAGTGGGGGTGTTGGTGGGAAGTGGTTGGGTTACTAGCAGAGCCGGGGGCTGGGGTGGGAATGGGTACCGGTAACATTGAAGGGCCGTTGCCGCACTGGCCGAAGCTTCTCCTCCAGCAGGCCTAGGGCCACGTGCAGATAGTCTGCGGCCCTCACAGCTGTCCTGGTCGCTGCCACGGGCTGCTTGAAGTATGACAGGAGTTCCATGGGGCTAGCTGAGCCACTGCGAAGGCGCTGTTTGATGCTGCCCAGAAAAGGGAAAGTGGGGGCTGGAGAAGGTTACACATGCATCCAGCAAGCCTAACCCAGGGGGTGGCCACACAAGACAACATAGACTACAGTTGAGTGTCAATCCAGACAGAGGCAAGGCCATGGGAGGGGTGGTTTTGAAACACAACCACCAGAAACACAAGGATTCACAGACACAGACAGACTGATAAAGGATCTCACCATCCAGCTCAGCCTCACCTCACCCCAGCAAACCTAGCCTCCCAAACTCCTCCCCGCCTGCGCCTGTTCTGAAAGACCCTGTACCGGCTCCCCCACCTTTCCCGCCGCTCTTTGTAAGCCTTGTCCACCAGTTGCTTGGCCTCTTCCATGCTGGTCAGCACCATTGCGGTTTCCACCTCCCCTGGGACAGCTGCCCAGAATCATGAAATCAGCAGGGTTCTAAGCCTCCCATCCAGTCCCCAGAACCAGGGAGATCTGACTGGAGGTGAGTAGTCAAAACCACCCCAACACTCTTTTCCCTCCTTTATGGGCTGTTACCTGGAATGGTGCCCTCAGAGGGTGGGAACATGGCCTGAGTGGCCAGGAGTCCAACCAGGGCCAAGATCAGCTTCATCTCTGTAACAAGACCCCAGCCTAGTCAGTTCCCCCGAGCCCACAGTGCATTTGGGAGCCCCACCATCTTTCTTCTCCTGGACCACTCCCTCCCACCTTCATACCTAGCCCCATCTCATCCCACCCAGTCTAGGCCTCCTTGAGTGAGAAACCACAGCCCACACCCAACTGCTAAGACCCAGACCCAAGGACCCCACCTCCACAGCTCACCTATCTCACACTGAGTTTGCGCTTTTATGTCCTCCAAGTTGGAGGGAGGGGTGGGGCAGAGGTAGGCTGGCCCTGGGAGGCTGACTTCTCCTCCCAAAAACCCTATAGGACAGTTTTACTGTCAGTTGGGATTGCTATGTGTGGAAAATGTACTCAATGGCACCTAACAGCCACAACAACTGGGGTCAGGGTATGCAATGAGGGGCCCCTAATGTGGGCAGGAAAGGAGGAACCAGAGTTGTTACCAGCACCTCCAATCCAGGGTTCCTCAGCTACCCAGTATTTGTTTGCTTAGACCAGTGCTGTAACCAGGATGTACAGACAAGTAACTCCTCCAAATTCTGGGTACATTTGGAATGAACAAAAGTCAGCCTAAGCAGAGACGTGGAGAGATGGAGCAGCTGGGGACTTTAGACGCAGAGAGGAAGAGGGGCTGTGTGCTGATGAGCAGGGGGCAGGGTTGTAGTGTATACCCTTTGGTTGGTTGATGATGCATGGAGGGAATTGTAGCCATGGCAATGAAATGATATATGATAGGATGAATGTAAAAATAATGTTCTCCCATGTAAACTATCACATAATTCACAATAAAACATTTGGAAGAAAGAAAGAGAGAGAGAGAGAGGAGAGAGAGTGAGAGAAAGGAAAAGAAAAGAAAGAAAGAAAACAATGTAATATATTAGGCAAAAAAAAAAGTCAGTCTAAGGAATGATGGAGAATGGAGTGAATCCTAGGGGCAGGGAGAGGGGGCAATAGGGTGATGATCTAGAGAGATGATGACCCAATCAACCTCAGGGGACCATCCCAATAGTAACCTATCCCTGGAACCAACCCCAGTGGGCAGCTCCCAGTTTTGTCAAGGGCTGAAAAGCAAACCAAACTCACTGCCATCAAGTCAACTGTACAGGACAAAGCAGAACTATTCCATTGAGTTTCTGAGACTGTAAATCTTTATGAGCACAAACAGTCTTGTCTTTCTCCCATGGAGCAGCTGGTGGGTTTGAACTGCTGACCTTACAATTAGCCCAACACTTAACCTACTATGACACCAAGGCTCCTGTAAGGGCTAAACTGTCAGGAAATCTGGCTAGAGACCGTTGGGCCTTACAGGAAGGAAAATCCTGGGGACTAGAGGCTCAGGACCAAGTTTACTTCCTCTACTTCTCTTCCTGTACCCCAACACACACTCACTCTTCTTTCCTTCTTATCTTTGGGTTATGAGCGATTCTCACATGTCTGCCATCTGCTCCTGGGTTTCAGGAAATGGAAGAGAACAATGCTGTTTGTCCTTAGTGGCCAGCTGGGTGATGGAGGCCAGGGCCTCTCAGGGACAAGATCAGTGTGGTTGGGAGGATTTGGGTTAAACTTTAGGAGCATTCTGAAATAGAAGAGGGGGAAGCTTCTCCCTGAGTAAGGCTGTCAGAAGGGCTTTCATTCTCAGATGGGAAAGTACCCTATGACATAGGACTGTTTGTCCACCTTCCTGGGTGCTCAAGAGACTGGACATGTGCCAACCTTGACTCCCACTTGCTGTCGTGGTCTAGCCACGCTGTCATAGTCTAACACCTGGCATATCTTCCCAGTATGTCCAGGGATCTCATCAACTGGTGCAGCCCAGGGCCACATGAAAGAGGAGACCACCCTTCCAGCCTTGCTGTGCCAATGGCTTACTGTGCATGACCACAGACAGTGACTTTTTGTGAATCAGAAGGGGACTGTGGCTCTCAGATGAGATACTCCAAGCAAGCCTTGTCCCACAAGTTACCCTCCAACTCCCCATCCTGGCAGCAGTCTCTAGAAGACACTGCTAAAACCAAACAAGTACTAAAACATCTCAAAGTGACACTGTGGGTGACAGTGGGCTGCTAACTGAAAGGCCGGCAGTTCAAACCCACTAGCTGCTTCTTCGGAGAAAGCTATCTATGGGTTGGAATCAATTTGATGGCAGTGGGTTTGGTTTGGTTTGGTATAGTCATTTGAAGGACTCCACACACATACCCTCAAACACACACACACACATACACACACATAACCCTCCCTTGTCCCCACTTGCCTTACTGAAACATCTCTAGCCCCAGGGTGAAATCCAACTGTGGATATCCTGTGGGATAACTGGCCCTCTCTGCTACTGATTGCAAAACAGCTTGTTCTTTCTTAATGCTGTTTAGGACACAGTTCAGTTAGGATTACAGCTAGATTTCCTGCGTGTGCACTTGGAGAGAGGTGACCTTGCATCCTATAGAATCTGGGGAGGGGATCGGACAGTGACGCCTCACACAAACCAATTGCACCCAGCCCTAAAACCTTATTTCTCTTCTTAAAATTTCGAAGGCTAACTTTGAATTATACAAGCAATAGCTGGATAAATTCTACGTTACATTTTTAAAATTACAAATGAAATAAAGCTCCCTTTAAATTAAGGTATAGCACCATCCTCAATTCCAGTCCCTTAGATATAAACCTCGAGGCTTTCTATGCCTGTGAAGATTTACAGCCTTGGAAACCCTGTACAGGGTCACTATGAGTCGGAACCGACTCCACGGTACATAACATTCCTTAGACGTAAGCCCTGTTATCATTTGTTGTGTCCATCTTTCCAAACCTTTTGCTTTATATATTCAATCATACATATGAATCCACAGAAAATATGTGATACTTTTTTTCCCTTTATTTTTCATAAATGATATCACACAACACATATTGTTCTCCAATGTTCTTTCACAATAATGTGTTTTGGAGAATCTACTCATGAACTAAATAGAGCACTAACCCATCCATTGTCGTTGAATCTGTTGTGACTCATGGTGTCCCCATGTGTTGCAGAGCAGAACTGCTCCATAGGGTTTTCTTGGCTGTAGTCTTTATGGAAGCAGATTGCCAGACCTTTGTTACATGGGACTGATGAGTAATTTGAACTGCCAACCTTTAATTAGTAGTCAAGAGCAAACTATTTGCATGACCTAGTCCTGGTATGGTGCTATAGGATAAAAAGGTGACTGCAAGGTCGGTTTGAACTGCAAGGTTAACAGTTCAAACTCACTAGCCACTCATCGGAAACTCTATATAAGGTCGGTATGGGTCAGAACCAACTCGACACACTTAATAAAACAATAAGGACCTTTGTAGAGGACTAGCAGTGTCTTTTTAAATATTATATAGCATTCCTACGTTGAACCATTGAGCTATCCCTCCAGCAGGTGGCCACCTCCAAAATTCCACAATTGAAAACAAAGCAGTAGGGGTTGTGTGCTGACCACAGAGGGGCAGGCTTGCGGGGTATACCCTTTGGTTGTTTGATGATGCATGGAGAGGATTGTAAATGATACACGATAGGATGACTGTGAAACTAATGTTCTCCCATGTAAACTCTCTCATAATTCACAATAAAACTTTTTTTTTTAATGCAGCAAAACATGCAAAGGAAAAGAAGTCAATTACAAAAGGATAAAGATTATATAACTCCACTTAAATGGAATCTCTAGAATAAGCAAGTGTATAGAAAACCAAAGTTTAATAGTGGTTACTGGCATAGGCCGGAAGGCACTTGTTGCTTAGGGGATATTGAACGTCTGTTAAGTGTGTTGGGAAAGATCTGGAGATGAGTGAAGGTCATGGCTGAACAGCATGTCACTGAATTGTACATGTAAAAAAATGCAGAAAGAAAGAAAAGATTTTGTTTCATATACATTTGCCACAATATAAAAACAGAACTAGCAATGCCTCCTTATGTAAAGATGAAGTGGGTCACAGGGTTTGTGCTTTTTTTTTTTTTTTTTTTACTTTAAAAAGATTTTGCCGAACTGTCCTCTAAACTTTATAAAAATCTCATGGGCAAGAAACAGAGTCACATTGTTGGTTTAATATTAATTTCTCTGATTAAGAGTGAGGCTGAGGGGGGACTTCCAGAAAGATGGCAGACGAGGCAGACGCTCTACACAGATCTTCTACAATAAAGATATGAGAGACCAAATGAAATAGACACAGATGACAATCTGGATTCCTGAACTTCAGAGGAAAGGTTAGAGAAGGGGACTGAGTGCTTGCTGGGAGGAGAAGCTGAGCAGGGTTGGCAAGAGAGGGACATGGACAAGGCAATGGTCAGCCAGACACAGTGCCACCATTTTAAGCTTTTGCAAGTAGCTTTGGTGACAAAAGGTGGTCCGGCAGAGCAGATTCACATAGGCGATGGGAGAAGTGTGATTCCTTCTTTTTCCTTATGCTCAGAGTGCCGGAAGATGAGGAAGAATATGGCATCAGGAACGAGGAAGACTCATTAACAACCTGCAATATGAAGATGATATGGAAGACTGGTGAAGGGCTGCCTCCTTAGAGTAAAATTTGCCATGATGATGCGAATGGAGTAAAGCCTGCAGCACTTCCATTTGCTGATGGGGCACAACTCAAAATAAGAAGAAACTGCTGCAAACATCCCTTAATAATCAGAACATGGAATATACAAAGTATAAATGTAGGAAACTGGAAGTTGCCAAAGTGAAATGGAACACATAAACATTGATATCCTAGGCATTAATGAGCTGAAAGGACTTGTACTAGGCATTTTTAATCTGACCATCATATATACTGAAGACTGTGGTCTTTGAGCTCATCAGTAAGTATTTTAAGTCCTCTTTGCCTTCAATAAGCAAAGTTGTATCATCTGCATATAGTAGGTTTTTCATAGACTAACTGTTAGTTTCAAATCATGGTTTTCGAATTTGTGTTGAGTAGCATTGTAAAAGTTAAGAAAATCTTCCGGCATTATATCTGCCAATATTCTGGTGCTATTCATGA